GGCAGACAAGCCAATAAAAAGAAGAGATTAATAAAATATATATATATATAAAAACAGAGAGGGCTATTTCCCTTACTACACTATTTAGTCTATAACCTTCGAGATGAGCTATTACTAATGTTCAGGCTACAAAGGAATTGAAAATACTTCTTAGTGTAATTCCACTTTAATGAGGGATGAGGAAGTGGAGTGTAATTGTTCCACTATGACTCTGATCCAATCTAAAAAATAAAAAAAAAAGTGAAAATAACTTTACCAGAGAGAAACTGAGAATAATTATTTTACTACAAAAATATTCTTTTGAACAATGAGTTTCCCCTGGCATTAACAAAAGGATTTAAATTAATTTTTAAAAGAACATGATTTGCACACAGTTTCAGCTGCATTAAGGTAACATTTTCTAAATTGTGCCAGTACTGAGACAGGAAATGAGCAGCCAGCCAACTTCATTGCATGCCCACTGTGCTCACACAACAGTCATTAACAACCAAGATTCTGGCAACCACTATTTCTTTGTTCCTATGTTTGCTTTGAGGCAATTATCCTATTAATATTTTCCAAACTGTCCCTGATCCTAAACAAAACAAAGGATCTGTTCTAGAGGCGTGATGATATTTTAAGTATTAATGTATAAGAAGACCCAAATTATATTTTGCTCGATTCAATTCTGAGCCAAATATGGGTAAAAATAAGTCACAAATTTTCTATCTTAGGAGATGAATTAGAAGAATGATTTAATTCCAGCTGCTTCCTCAATAATCACACCAATGATGAAAACAGAAAGTAGAAATCTAAATAATCAAGAGTTTCAACTCAGTACACTCTTAAGAGGTACAACACATAATGTTCCCTCCTTCAATCTGTTAAAAATTCCCAAGTTTCAAAACCACTGAACTAGAACAAACTCATATTATACCACCCAGTGGAGCAACCAATAGTTTACTGAACAAACACAGAGGAGGCACGTTCAAGGCCACAGGAAATAAAACAGAAAGACACAGATCTTCACCATCAAGAAACTTACACTCTACTTGAAAGGATGGTCAAAATGTTTGACACAACCTTTCTCGATCACTAACAGGTACAAGAAGCTATATGATAAATGTATCTACTGTATTCATATGCATATCGTGTATAATTTTTCTACATTGGTATAGACATGTCATCTAAAGAAAACACAATACTTAGAACTAGTAAATGACAGGTAAATCCAAATGTTCCCAACAAACTGTATGGCACCCAGGAAGATGTATTGAGAAACAAGTTCTGTCCTGATATTAATAAGCAAGGAGGGAGTGGACAGGACACTAAACCTGCTGGGCCACATATGTCAACTATAATGTGAAGAAGACACTAGACTAAAAATGGCAAATGTTTTTATTTCTCCAAAAGCCAATTTCAATTAACTGGTAGTAACTGCCTCTAGAGCACTCTGCTGAAACTGTTAGAGTCTTTTAAATAAAAAGCTGTGTCCTGTGTTCCTTGCCCTCAGAAGTTGGGTGTGTTTGAGATGGTGCTACTGATTTATCATCAGAGTGTTCACTTGAGTTGTTTTTCCAGCAGCAGTGACCTGGGGCACTCCTCAGTCTCACTTGTGATTGATGGCTACAGTTCAACTCTGGGAAGCTACAAAATGTGGCTGTGTAACTAAGTACTTTCCTGATTCTGAGCAACAGATAATAACACCTAACATTTGTTGACGTTTAACACATTAACTGCCATGTGAGTTGTATTCAACTTACTAGTTTTGAGGCCCGGGCCTCATGAAGCATATGCAGTTAGTTCCTGAAAATCTTACTTGTTAATGTTCTTATTGTTACAATTGATATTGACAATTTAATTGCATATAACTCATGTACAGAAAATAAAAAATAACAATTTTTTCATTATCTTAGAAAGGATCGTTTTGTTTTCGAAGTTTTTATTCTATTTTCATAATAAAACACCATGGCCCCAAAGAAAAACAATTTTTTTCTAGTGAGGCAGTCAATGTATTAATATAGAGCTCACACTGTTCTAACCACATCTTAACCCATATTAATGCATATAACCGTCACAACAATCTCTATGATACAGATTCTATTACCACCATCCTCATTTTACAGAGGAGACAATGAGGCACTAAACACTAGGTGGAACATCTTGCTCAAGGCTTCAGAGGGAGTAACATAGCCAGAACTTGACCTGAAGCAGTCTGATCACTTACTTTTAACCATTTTACTTACTGCTTCTCTGTCAACTGTACAGAGATCAAACTCATGACTTCGGTTCTGTTAATGCTACACATTGAGTAAGCCAGATGCCCAGACTTCGCGGTGGTACAAGTCGGTATATTATCTGTAGTCCTGAAATGTTTATTCTCTCCAAGAGGCCTGCATTCTGGCAAAAAGCACTAAAATTTCTGGTGGATTATCTTATTTGGCATATTTTTTAAATACAGGAGAGGGGGATAGAAGGCATATGAAAGTTAACAGAATGCTAAATATTAATACTAACCACCCCCAACACTCATAAGAGGTTGATTTTCTTAATAAATGTGACTTCCAAAGAGATTTGCTAAATAAGTAGTCGTATTAATCCTCATTAAGGGGTGTAAGTTTAGAAGAAAAAAAAAAGGGCAGACTTCAAGGAGTAACAGAGTAATTTTTAAAAGAATTTGCTACATACATATTACACTCCAATGTGTAGATTATCTTCAAGTGTTCCCATTACACCTTCTTACACATCACTACACTTCAGATCACATATACATTAAACTTACAAATTGCTGGGCTTGTCTCCAAATTCAAAGTATGTTATCAAATGTAACTATTTTTTTCTATTTCCATTTTCAATATCAACAATGTAACAAGAAATGTACACTCAAGCTTCCAATCTTTAAGGTACAGTATAAAAAGAACTACACATGAAATAAAAATTAAATGGAATATTAAGAACATTTTGAAAGAACTATAGCTATTAAGAGGAAATCAGAAGCTTTTTAAAAAGCATTTCCATTATTGAAAGAATGTTATTGTCAGTAGTTAACACTATATTTTCCAACAGAAAGGGGTAGGGGCAAGCACCCAAATTATATAATACGTATGCTCTACTTTTAGTCTGTATCTTTAAGCTTAATATCTTTGTTATTTTACATAAAAGTACATTTAAAAAGCAAAGTTTTAATATTTTCTTCCCGAATAAATCCCCTTGCACCCCACCTTCAAGGCCCTACTAACTAAAAAATTCATGACTTCTAATCTCTATTCCCAAACTTAAAGCAACAAAATTAATCATTTTTCCTAATTCAAAATGTTTTAAATTACCTATCATCGATAATAATTAATCATTCTTTTGACCACAGGTCAGGGCCAAATCCCCCCTCCACACTTCCCATTCCTGAACTTTGTTATAAGGACTCATATGTTTGGGTTGTATCCTCATTTTTTAAGCAAGCAGCAATGACACAAGATGTAAAGATGGTAGCACCATATATCAAGAGAATGAGACAGATACGTATGGTTTGCCTTTCATTAAACAGTTCTTTCTAGACTTGACCCAATGAGACCTGTTAATTCCACCCATAGTCTCCTTACCCTCCCTCCTCTCGGACACCACTACTTGTGTATGCATGAAAAGCCTAAGTCCGTGCCAAACAGAACAAGTCCCCTTCTGTGTTCTCATAAAGAAATTTTTATGAAGAACAAATTCAATTCACTTTTTGACACTTATGGACCACACAACAAAACCACAAAAAGGAAACAAAAAACTAACTACAGTGAAAGTACTAAATATTTTTATTACAATACTGCTTATTGAGTTACTTCTGGCTGCAAATTTCTTTCCCGGTTTTAGTTCTCTCCAGCACAAATTTATTCTCAGGCACCAGGTCATGAGGATACTGTGTGTTTAAACACCACCTCAGTGCCACTTGGCCACTAAGAGTGCTATTGCACTTCATCCACTGATTACCTGTATCAATACAGGCAACCCCAGCTGGGTCCGCTTCAGCCTTGTGAAGCAACTCCTTTAGAGTGCTCCTTGGCCTTTTATAGTGGAGGCATGTGATGAGTGTCTGCACCAGCTGTTCCTAATTACCTCTCTGGCTAGGGTGAATGACTCAGCAACCCAACTTTTTTAGAGTCATCCCACCTTGTCATCCAACAAACATATTGAAGAATGGTAAACCACTTGAAGAACCATAGGTTAAACAACAATACCCGATGCAATCACTACACCGAGGCCACTCTACTCCAAGCTGACTCACTAGGAGCCTTTTTTTCCCTAGGCTTCTTTAAAAGGGCCAAAGGCAGAAGTGGCAAGTGCCTTCAAGCCCAGCCCAGCCCTTGCACCACTACCCCAAGACCAGGAAGAAACAAGCAGACCTCTTCCCATTTCTCTGGTTGACCATGTGAAGCACTCAAGTGCTCTGCCACCAACAGGTCTAAGGTTTCCTTCCACCCTTTCTTTGTAACTGCCTTACATGCAAACCCCCTGGGAGGTAAGGACTGTTCAATTATATGAACAAAGACCTAGTGGTGGCATCCACCAAGTTTAACAGTCCTAACACTCAGATAATTCTCCAAAAACATTAGCATCCTACAAAACAATCTTTGTTCCTCAAAGTATGACCCTGTAGCTTGTTTTCTCCACACTCGTTCTTTCACAATCACTACTGCACTTTACCTTGAACCAGCCCAAGTTTAACGCAGAAGCCTCACCGCATAAAAGCATTCCGCACAATTCTACTCAATGACATGAAACTGCCGTGGAAGAATGAAAAAGCAATGGCACGCATGTTACATTACACGAGCACAAAGCTGGTGTCTCTATAAGCAACACCCACTCTCACCATATTGTGAGAATCTCAATTACAATGTGTGGGCAAAACTCCAACAAAGGGAACCCTGGGATCTCCAGTCCCCAAAACCAGTCTTCGCTAAATCCGGCTCAGCAAGGTGGCATTCTCGCCCCAGCCACGAACTCGGCCCTCCTTACGTGGTTACCCGCGCGACACACACCCAGGCCGGGACGGCGGCAGGCAGCAGCTCGCCGGACGCCGCGGCAGCGGAGGGTGGTGGCAGGGGCGGGAGGACAACACGGGCCCGGGCCGCGAGGGCGGTGCTGATGTGTCACAGCCCGGGCGGGCCGCGGGCTCGGGGTGGGGAGCGGGAGCCCGGACCCCGGCCCCCGGCACGCCCCCGGCCCCCGCCCCGGGTAAAGTGCGGCGCGGGCCGGTAAACAACAGCGCAGGAGCCACGGGCACCGACGGCTCGCCCTTCCGGCGGACGCGGCCACTTCCAGGAACAGGGGCCGCGGACGCCCCCGGCAGGCCCGGCTCGGAGCCCCCCGCCCCGAGAGCAGCCGCCC